TATGTAACGTTTAAAAATGTTTGATTGTTGACAAAGTTTTTACAATTTCGCATACGCCAACAAAAGAACACGAAGAAAATATTAAATACATGCAAATTGCTAAAACATGTTAAACACATCGATGCAAGGGGAGGTAATTTTAAAAGAAATTTAACTCCGCTAAATATTGCTATTTTTGTAATTCTTTCTTTTTTATTTCAACAGAAATAATTAATATTTTAAAGCTCGTAACTAGAATAGATCAACATTCAGATAATTTATGTTATTTACTGATTAGTCGGTACAGAGTTTTATATTATTTTTAATTTCTATATTTTCTTAAAATTACTATTTTTGTTTGGTCTTACTTGATGGTTGAGTTTGTATTTGTGTTTGCGTTTGTGTTTTCTTTTGTGTTTGCGTTGTGATTTGTTTTTTTTTTGAGTTTGCATTTGTGTTTTCTTTTATATTCTCGTGTTGCGTTTGGGTTTGGGTGGCGAAACACGGGTATGCACCCAGTTGTAATGTATTTTATAGTAATATGGCTTTACAAATTGTAGTACAGTATATATATATATATATATATATATATATATATATATATATATATATATATATATATATATGTATATGTATACATATATATGGATGTATATATAAATACATCTGTTATATCTGTGGCTTTAAATATTCTTTGCGTTAGGTATATGGCTTTACATATTGTATTATGTTTTAAAATATAATATGTCTTAACATATTGTAGTACGTAATATATAAGGCTTTATATATTGTAATACGTTATATATATATATATATATATATATATATATATATATATATATATATATATATGAATATATATATGTAATATGTATATATATATATATATATATATATATATATATATATATATATATATATATATATATATATATATATACTACGGCTTTATCTATTGTTGTACGTTATATTTGTGGCTTAATATATAGTACTCTTATGTATACGGCTTTACATATTGTAATATGGTATATATATATATATATATATATATATATATATATATATATATATATATATATATATATATATATATATATATATATATATATATATATATATATATACTCTTATATATTCTTTATAGTTATTTAAATATTAGTGTATTATTATATACTAGCCGTCGGTACCCGTTACACGTGAATTATAGGCCTATACATTTTTAATGTTAAACATGTTTGTGAAAATATTTTACGTGATAGTTATTGGTCAAAACGCAATGTGCTCGACCACACGTTGAACGATATTAGTGACAAAGAAAAGAAATAACGTAATAGCTAAAATGCGACACATTTAAAACAACACAGACTACCAATACCTATTAGAAAAATTAAAACCAAATTATATACATTAATAATCAACACAACACCATGTTAAATGCACAAACTGATTTAGAGACTTAAATGATTCCGTTAAAAACCCGGCTGTTCAATAATATTTTGTTTTTTACTTTATCGTATACAAGTATAGAGAAAATATTGTAATCGTGCAAAATTTTTTTTTTTTTTTTTTTTTTTTTTTTTTTTTTTTTTTTGCATACCTCGACGTTTTACGCCTCCCTGAGTCGGAAAAACATAGTTTTGCAATCTTGTCCGTTTGTCTGTGTGGGTGTGTGTGTGTCTGTGTGTGTCTGTGTCTGTAAACGTGAGTACCGTTACAGTTAGGTTGTTGAAGTTTCATATATAAGTATTATCTCAAATGTGTAGATCCGTATCAACTTTTCAGCGATTTCCGATAAACGGTAGTGGAACTTATTCTACTTTTGGTTTTTCAAAAGTCTTTAACTTTAGTACTGTTTCAGACAGATACACGAAATTACACAATTAAGAAAAAGATCTAATTCTCTGCCTTCTTTCAAATTTTGATCAATTTCGATTTACCAGAAGTAGTACTTCAGCCCTATTTTCAATTTCTTTAAAAAACGCACATGAATTAATAAAATACTAATATTCCGCACTATTATACACACATTCTTTGCTGTTCACTTGGTGCGCAATGTTGTTTTCTACCAGATTATATTCTATTTAAAAAAGTTTAAGAAATTAAAAATGATTAAACAATATTAAAGAATATTCGAGAGAGTTTAAGGGAGATCACTTTCGCTTTTTAAAATTTACAACAGTGTTGCATGACTAAAAACTATTGTCTACGATTTTTAGAAATTTTTTATCATTTCATATGATAATAATTTGGCATCTAATTAATAAATGTCATATTGCATTGTTTTCGAGTTTTACCCACTTGCCGAATGTCAGTGACTTTTGTCGGTTAGAAGTGCCCGAAATTTCGCTCGCCCGTTTCGATCTATGACGACAGACAGGGGAAGCAAGTTAAATAATAGTTTGTAAAAAGTATGATAATCATAGCACTTATTTACACGATTTACGCGCGCTTGTATAGGTGGCGTTGACACGATTCGTGAAGTATGTGTGTAATGTCGCGCTGTCGTAATGTCGCGCTGTCGTAATGTCGCGCTGTAGTAATGTCGCGCTGTCGTATTTGAACTGTCATCGGCCGCTAGTTCCATCAATCACCCTTACAAAATCCTTTCGCAAATCTTATGAGCATGGTGTGTGACTTGACCTCCGCCGCAGGTTTTATAGATCCCAAGTTAAGAACCGCAGCTTTAGATATTGTTGTGCGCTAGGATCTGACTTTAGATAATAACACGGTAATACGCTAGTTAGATGGCTAATGTATCACATTAAGTAGATGGGGTTTGTTTCTTTGAAAGTGCTTGCTAGAAAGCTAATTAATTAGCCTAACACTAAAGTTTGTTAGAAGACTAATTAGCCTAACACTAACGTTTGTTAGAAGACTAATTAATTAGCATGACTCTAACACTTTCTCAATTTGGTGATAAAATCAGTGTTAAATCTACATTTGAAAAAAAAAATTCTTATAATGTAAAATTACCAAAAGCAAAGAAATGTGCGGTCTGCAATGGAAATCACCATGGCAACCAAGCCTTTAGTCACGTGGTGAGGTCACGTGTGAGAAGATGTGTGCTGATAAAAAGACACTAATTGATTTGGAAGTTAAAGGGGTGCTCACTGATAGGGGAGCGGAGAATGTTAAAAGGTGGGGGCTTGGAAGGGGGGGGGGTGTCTAAAAGTGAAGCGAGATAAGACGACACCAATTCACAAACAAGAAGGAATGCCGACTTTCACATAGATGAACGGGAGCCTTAAAAGTTTTTGCCTTAAAAAGTTTGCTTTGGTAATTGATCTAGTCGTTTAGTGACCCAGACCCAGACCCAGACCCAGACCCAGACCCAGACCCAGACCCAGACCCAGACCCAGACCCAGACCCAGACCCAGACCCAGACCCAGACCCAGACCCAGACCCAGACCCAGACCCAGACCCAGACCCAGACCCAGACCCAGACCCAGACCCAGACCCAGACCCAGACCCAGACCCAGACCCAGACCCAGACCCAGACCCAGACCCAGACCTAGACCTAGACCTAGACCTAGACCTAGACCTAGACCTAGACCTAGACCTAGACCTAGACCTAGACCTAGACCTAGACCTAGACCTAGACCTAGACCTAGACCTAGACCTAGACCTAGACCTAGACCTAGACCTAGATAAGAGCTAAACCTAGACCTAGACCTATACTATCACACCAACTGTTGTATCAACTATTAGAAACATCCGTGATATTTGTTAGCGTATCATTAAAAACAACAACTAATCCCATGGGATGGCATGATGTTAGTCTTGTCAGTGGTGTCATGTTAGTCTTGTCAGTGGTGTCAGTAATGTCATGTTATTCTTGTCAGTGGAGTCATGATGTTAGTCATGTTATTCCCCAAGTTGTCATGGGAATTGTTGAAGTAAAACACTTAGGATGAGATGTCACTGGAATACTTTTGTTAAAAGCCACCCCCACCCACCCCTAAACTCCCACCCCCACATCCACCGTCAACTTGTCTGTTGTAGGATTGTTGTCAACTTGTCACGTGCTAGACAGCTAGCCGTCACGTGCTACAGACAGCTAGCTGTCACGTGCTACAGGCAGCTAGCCAACTAGAGCATTTCTATCGTCTAAAACAAACTTTGCTACCCAGACTAAAGTCTTGATACGTCAAACAAACACATTGACAACAGCCTATTAGCTGCTCCAAGTATTTCGACCAGTGAAGTTCCAAGGATGATAGCAGATCAAAATAGAACGATTGTAAATGCTTTCACTTGCAAAGACTATTTACAATTAGCAAACATCTCCATAAGGTAATTGAACGTCAGGAAAGGAAGATTTAGACAAGATACTGATGCGGCTCGTCTGCGACTCAACCTTCATTATTAGTTTGAACAGCTGGCTTGATGCCAGAGCCCGAGAATTCACGTCTGCTATTAAAAATGGCGGGGGTCGTTTTGGTGCAAAATTATTCCCGCACCCCTCCCCACCCCTCCCGCACTTGAGAGAAACTTGCCGTCAATTTTCGGCCAATCAAGAGCATTACTCGCCAATCTGGTCGACAAACACCTGTTTCATTTGGCTTTCATTTAACTTTACTATTTTTCCACTTGGCTTTTCCAGAATAAAACTTCTACAATCGAAACTATTTGAGTGAATTTATTTGGCTTCTGTGTGTCCTGACTGGATCACTTGAGTGAGATATTTATCCTTGAGTGAGATAGTTATCTCATCTGTACAGCTGTGCACGTGCATGCCTCCAGTACCGTTATCAAATATCAAGAGCTCAGAAATCTTTAAATAGCCCATAGTCAAATTTGCAAAAAAAAAAAGTGTAAAAATTGTATATAAAACATTTTTTTAATCTTGTATGATTGATTTGATTTCTATTACGACATAAAATTCTCTTTGTTTATGTGAATCATTTCCCTTCAAACTTGAACTTAAAATGAAGAGACAACAAACAAACGCCTGGCATAGACAAACTAGAATCACTGACAAACACCCGAGGTCAACAAACATGACAATGACCATGACCTACCTGATTTGACGGAACAGTGAATGTGACCCCGTGTCTCATAGTAGACCCAGTCAAACCCCGCCTCGACTGCCAGTCTAGCCAACATGCCGTACTTGGATCGGTCCCTGCAGGGAAATATTGACATTCAGACATCCAGACCACGTTTACTGACAGACATCCAGACCACGTTTACTGACAGACATCCAGACCACGCTTACTGACAGACATCCAGACCACGTTTACTGACAGACATCCAGACCACGTTTACTGACAGACATCCAGACCACGTTTACTGACATATTAAGACATCCAGACCACGTTTACTGACAGACATCCAGACCACGTTTACTGACAGACATCCAGACCACGTTTACTGACATATTAAGACATCCAGACCACGTTTACTGACAGACATCCAGACCACGTTTACTGACAGACATCCAGACCACGTTTACTGACATATTAAGACATCCAGACCACGTTTACTGACAGACATCCAGACCACGTTTACTGACAGACATCCAGACCATGTTTACTGACAGACATCCAGACCATGTTTACTGACAGACATCCAGACCACGTTTACTGACATATTAAGACATCCAGACCACGTTTACTGACAGACATCCAGACCACGTTTACTGACATATTAAGACATCCAGACCACGTTTACTGACAGACATCCAGACCACGTTTACTGACAGACATCCAGACCACGTTTACTGACATATTAAGACATCCAGACCACGTTTACTGACAGACATCCAGACCACGTTTACTGACAGACATCCAGACCACGTTTACTGACATATTAAGACATCCAGACCACCTTTACTGACAGACATCCAGACCACGTTTACTGACAGACATCCAGACCATGTTTACTGACAGACATCCAGACCATGTTTACTGACAGACATCCAGACCACGTTTACTGACATATTAAGACATCCAGACCACGTTTACTGACAGACATCCAGACCACGTTTACTGACAGACATCCAGACCATGTTTACTGACAGACATCCAGACCATGTTTACTGACAGACATCCAGACCACGTTTACTGACATATTAAGACATCCAGACCACGTTTACTGACAGACATCCAGACCACGTTTACTGACACATTAAGACATCCAGACCACGTTTACTGACATATTAAGACATCAAGACCACGTTTACTAATAGAAATCCAGACCACGTTTACTGACACATTAAGACATCCAGACCACGTTTACTGACATATTAAGACATCAAGACCACGTTTACTAATAGAAATCCAGACCACGTTTACTGACAGACATCCAGACCACGTTTACTGACATATTAAGACATCCAGACCACGTTTACTGACAGACATCCAGACCACGTTTAATGACACATTAAGACGTCCAGACCACGTTTACTGACACATTAAGACATCCAGACTACGTTTACTGACAGACATCCAGACCACGTTTACTGACATATTAAGACATCCAGACCACGTTTACTGACAGACATCCAGACTACGTTTAATGACACATTAAGACATCCAGACCACGTTTACTGACAGACATCCAGACCACGTTTACTGACGCATTAAGACATCCAGACCACGTTTACTGACATATTAAGACATCCAGACCACGTTTACTGACACATTAAGACATCCAGACCACGTTTACTGACACATTAAGACATCCAGACCACGTTTACAGACACATTAAGACACCCAGACCACGTTTACTGACACATTAAAACATCCAGACCACGTTTACTGACAGACATCCAGACCACGTTTACTGACACATTAAGACATCCAGACCACGTTTACTGACACATTAAGACACACAGACCACGTTTACTGACACATTAAAACATCCAGACCACGTTTACTAATATAAATCCAGACCACGTTTACTGACAGACATCCAGACCACGTTTACTAAAATGTCCACCTACCTGTCTAATGTTGTAATGTCCACCTACCTGTCTGATGTTGTAATGTCCACCTACCTGTCTAATGATGTAATATTCAACTACCTGTCTAATGATGTAATGTCCACCTACCTGTCTAATGATGTAATGTCCACCTACCTGTCTAATGATGTAATGTCCACCTACCTGTCTAATGTTGTAATGTCCACCTACCTGTCTGATGTTGTAATGTTCACCTATCTGTCTGATGTTGTAATGTCCACCTACCTGTCTAATGTTGTAATGTCCACCTACCTGTCTGATGTTGTAATGTCCACCTACCTCTCTAATGATGTAATGTTCACCTACTTGTCTAATGATGTAATGTTCACCTACTTGTCTAATGATGTAATGTCCACCTACCTGTCTGATGTTGTAATGTCCACCTACCTCTCTAATGATGTAATGTTCACCTACTTGTCTAATGATGTAATGTTCACCTACCTGTCTAATGTTGTAATGTCCACCTACCTGTCTAATGATGTAATGTTCACCTACCTGTCTAATGATGTAATGTCCACCTACCTGTCTAATGTTGTAATGTTCACCTACTTGTCTAATGATGTAATGTCCACCTACCTGTCTAATGTTGTAATGTCCACCTACCTCTCTAATGATGTAATGTCCACCTACCTGTCTGATGTTGTAATGTCCACCTACCTGTCTAATGTTGTAATGTCCACCTACCTGTCTAATGTTGTAATGTTCACCTACCTGTCTGATGTTGTAATGTCCACCTACCTGTCTAATGTTGTAATGTCCACCTACCTGTCTAATGTTGTAATGTCCACCTACCTGTCTGATGTTGTAATGTCCACCTACCTGTCTAATGTTGTAATGTCCACCTACCTGTCTAATGTTGTAATGTTCACCTATCTGTCTGATGTTGTAATGTCCACCTACCTGTCTGATGTTGTAATGTCCACCTACCTGTCTAATGTTGTAATGTCCACCTACCTGTCTAATGTTGTAATGTTCACCTATTCTTAGAATGATGTAATGTCCACCTACCTGTCTGATGTTGTAATGTCCACCTACCTGTCTGATGTTGTAATGTCCACCTACCTGTCTGATGTTGTAATGTCCACCTACCTGTCTAATGTTGTAATGTCCACCTACCTGTCTGATGTTGTAATGTCCACCTACCTGTCTGATGTTGTAATGTCCACCTACCTGTCTGATGTTGTAATGTCCACCTACCTGTGTAATGATGTTATGTCCACCTACCTGTCTGATGTTGTAATGTCCACCTACCTGTCTGATGTTGTAATGTCCACCTACCTGTCTAATGTTGTAATGTCCACCTACCTCTCTAGTGATGTAATGTTCAACTACCTGTCTAATGATGTAATGTCCACCTACCTGTCTAATGTTGTAATGTTCACCTACTCTTATAATGTTGTAATGTCCACCTACCTGTCTAATGTTTTAATGTCCTCCTACCTGTCTGATGTTGTAATGTCCACCTACCTGTCTGATGTTGTAATGTCCACCTACCTGTGTAATGATGTTATGTCCACCTACCTGTCTGATGTTGTAATGTCCACCTACCTGTCTGATGTTGTAATGTCCACCTACCTGTCTGATGTTGTAATGTTCACCTACCTCTCTAATGATGTTATGTCCACCTACCTGTCTGATGTTGTAATGTCCACCTACCTGTCTGATGTTGTAATGTCCACCTACCTGTCTAATGTTGTAATGTCCACCTACCTCTCTAGTGATGTAATGTTCAACTACCTGTCTAATGATGTAATGTCCACCTACCTGTCTAATGTTGTAATGTTCACCTACTCTTATAATGTTGTAATGTCCACCTACCTCTCTAATGTTGTAATGTTCACCTACTTGTCTAATGTTGTAATGTCCACCTACCTCTCTAATGATGTAATGTCCACCTACCTGTCTAATGTTGTAATGTCCACCTACCTGTCTAATGTTGTAATGTCCACCTACCTCTCTAATGATGTAATGTCCACCTACCTGTCTGATGTTGTAATGTCCACCTACCTCTCTAATGATGTAATGTTCACCTACCTGTCTAATGATGTAAAGTCCACCTACCTGTCTAATGTTGTAATGTCCACCTACCTCTCTAATGATGTAATGTTCACCTACCTGTCTAATGTTGTAATGTTCACCTACTTGTCTAATGATGTAATGTTCACCTACCTGTCTTATGATGTAATGTTCACCTACCTGTCTAATGTTGTAATGTTCACCTACTTGTCTAATGATGTAATGTTTACCTTCCTGTCTAATGATGTAATGTTCACCTACCTGTGTAATGATGTAATGTCCACCTACCTGTGTAATGATGTAATGTCCACCTACCTGTCTGATGTTGTAATGTCCACCTACATGTCTGATGTTGTAAAGTCCACCTACCTGTCTGATGTTGTAATGTCCACTGCCCGTCCCTCGTAATGGAGTGAGTTTTCTACATGCATCCCGTCCTCATCCCAGGCCTCTGTGACCCTGAGCTTGACCCCTGGCCACTGGTTGAGCACGGAGATGGCCAGCGTGTTCAGCTTGTCCTTACAGCGCTGTAATGGACATGGTATTTGGTCAGACAATCAAGGTAGACAATCACGTCAAACAATCAAGGTTGACAATCAAGGGGAACAATCAAGGGAGACAATCAAGTCAAACAATCAAGTCAAACAATCAAGTCAAACAATCAAGTCAAACAATCAAGTCAAACAATCAAGTCAAACAATGAAGGTAGACAATCAAGTCAAACAATCAAGGGAGACAATTAAGGGGAACAATCAAGGGGGACAATCAAGGGAGACAATCAAGGGGAACAATCACGTCAAACAATCAAGGTTGACAATCAAGGGGAACAATCAAGGGAGACAATCAAGTCAAACAATCAAGGTAGACAATCAAGTCAAACAATCAAGGGAGACAATCAAGGGGAACAATCAAGGGGCACAATCAAGGGAGACAATCAAGGGAGACAATCAAGTCAAACAATCAAGGGAGACAATCAAGTCAAACAATCAAGTCAAACAATCAAGGGAGACAATCAAGGGGGACAATCAAGGGAGACAATCAAGCCAAACAATCAAGGGAGACAATCAAGCCAAACAATCAAGGGAGACAATCAAGTCAAACAATCAAGTCAAACAATCAAGGGAGACAATCAAGGAAGACAATCAGGAGAGACCATAAAAGGGGGGGGGGGGGAATTAAGGAAGAAGATCATGTAATATAATCGGCGGATAATTTTTTGAATTACGGCAGATATTCTAATAGTTTTCAATAATCAAGTTATAACAAAATTTTACGAGGTTCTTAGCTAGACAATATGGGATGTGGTTAGCTAGACAATATGGGATGTGGTTAGCTAGACAATATGGGATGTGGTTAGCTAGACAATATGGGATGTGGTTAGCTAGACAATATGGGATGTGGTTAGCTAGGCAATATGGGATGTGGTTAGCTAGACAATATGGGATGTGGTTAGCCATACAATATCAAAGGTGGTTAGCTAGACCATCACACACTCTGTATAGTTGTCTATGGTATCTTTCATATATATGCAAATCTTTAACTTAGCCACTCCACACCCGCCCCCTTTCGCATATTCTGTACAACTAAATGTAACGGGTAAAGGATAGTGACGCCATTTTTTGGAAGAAAGAGCAGAGTTTTCGATCAGCGCCCATAAATTGCCGCCTGTTGAACAAACGAGTCTTGCATCAATCGCCGGTGTATCTGAGAAAATCCTGCTCCTAGGTGGCACCGTCCCAGCCCGTCTTATTCTTACTATGTGTTTACAGCAGACTAGGCGCGCCGCCTCACCGCGCGCCTACCTCACACACAGCAGTGCTCACCTTGAAGGCCTGAACTAACTCAAGAGGCTGTTAACACGTCGTGTCAGAGTTTTATGTCGCAGGTAGGTGTGTGGGGAAGGTAGGTGTGTGGCGCAGGTAGGTGTGTGGCGCAGGTAGGTGTGTGGGGCAGGTAGGTGTGTGGGGCAGGTAGGTGTGTGGCGCAGGTAGGTGTGTGGCGCAGGTAGGTGTGTGGGGCAGGTAGGTGTGTGGGGCAGGTAGGTGTGTGGGGCAGGTAGGTGTGTGGGGCAGGTAGGTGTGTGGGGCAGGTAGGTGTGTGGCGCAGGTAGGTGTGTGGCGCAGGTAGGTGTGTGGCGCAGGTAGGTGTGTGGGGCAGGTAGGTGTGTGGGGCAGGTAGGTGTGTGGGGCAGGTAGGTGTGTGGTGCAGGTAGGTGTGTGGGGCAGGTAGGTGTGTGGCGCAGGTAGGTGTGTGGGGCAGGTAGGTGTGTGGCGCAGGTAGGTGAGCTGTGTGGCGCAGGCAGGTGTGTGGGGCAGGTAGGTGTGGTGTGTGGCGCAGGTAGGTGTGTGGCGCAGGTAGGTGTGTGGGGCAGGTAGGTGTGGTGTGTGGCGCAGGTAGGTGTGTGGGGCAGGTAGGTGTGTGGGGCAGGTAGGTGTGTGGGGCAGGTAGGTGTGTGGCGCAGGCAGGTGTGTGGCGCAGGTAGGTGTGTGGTGCAGGTAGGTGAGGTGTGTGGCGCAGGCAGGTGTGTGGGGCAGGTAGGTGTGGTGTGTGGCGCAGGTAGGTGTGTGGCGCAGGTAGGTGTGTGGGGCAGGTAGGTGTGGTGTGTGGCGCAGGTAGGTGTGTGGCGCAGGTAGGTGTGTGGGGCAGGTAGGTGTGTGGCTTAGGTAGGTGTGTGGCGCAGGTAGGTGTGTGGCGTAGGTAGGTGTGTGGGGCAGGTAGGTGTGTGGCGCAGGTAGGTGTGGTGTGTGGCGCAGGTAGGTGTGTGGCGCAGGTAGGTGTGTGGTGCAGGTAGGTGTGTGGGGCAGGTAGGTGTGGTGTGTGGCGCAGGTAGGTGTGTGGCGCAGGTAGGTGTGTGGGGCAGGTAGGTGAGGTGTGTGGTGCAGGTAGGTGTGTGGGGCAGGTAGGTGTGTGGGGCAGGTAGGTGTGTGGGGCAGGTAGGTGTGTGGCGCAGGTAGGTGTGGTGTGCAGGTAGGTGTGTGGGGCAGGTAGGTGTGTGGTGCAGGTAGGTGTGTGGGGCAGGTAGGTGTGGTGTGTGGCGCAGGTAGGTGTGTGGCGCAGGTAGGTGTTGGGGCAGGTAGGTGTGGTGTGTGGCGCAGGCAGGTGTGTGGGACAGGTAGGTGTGGTGTGTGGCGCAGGTAGGTGTGTGGCGCAGGTAGGTGTGTGGGGCAGGTAGGTGTGGTGTGTGGCGCAGGTAGGTGTGTGGCGCAGGTAGGTGTGTGGGGCAGGTAGGTGTGGTGTGTGGCGCAGGTAGGTGTGTGGCGCAGGTAGGTGCGGTGTGTGGCGCAGGTAGGTGTGTGGGGCAGGTAGGTGTGGTGTGTGGCGCAGGTAGGTGTGTGGTGCAGGTAGGTGTGTGGCGCAGGTAGGTGTGTGGGGCAGGTAGGTGTGGTGTGTGGCGCAGGTAGGTGTGTGGCGCAGGTAGGTGTGTGGGGCAGGTAGGTGAGGTGTGTGGCGCAGGTAGGTGTGTGGTGCAGGTAGGTGTGTGGTGCAGGTAGGTGTGTGGCGCAGGTAGGTGTGTGGTGCAGGTAGGTGTGTGGCGCAGGTAGGTGTGTGGTGCAGGTAGGTGAGGTGTGTGGCGCAGGTAGGTGTGTGGCGCAGGTAGGTGTGTGGCGCAGGTAGGTGTGGTGTGTGGCGCAGGTAGGTGTGTGGCGCAGGTAGGTGTGTGGGGCAGGTAGGTGTGTGGCGCAGGTAGGTGTGTGGCGTAGGTAGGTGAGCTGTGTGGCGCAGGTAGGTGAGGTGTTTCGCAGGTAGGTGTGTAGTTCAGGTAGGTGTGTGGCGTAGGTAGGTGAGGTGTGTGGCGCAGGTAGGTGTGTGGCGCAGGTAGGTGTGTGGTGCAGGTAGGTGTGTGGTGCAGGTAGGTGTGTGGCGTAGGTAGGTGTGTGGTGCAGGTAGGTGTGTGGTGCAGGTAGGTGTGTGGTGCAGGTAGGTGTGTGGCGTAGGTAGGTGTGTGGTGCAGGTAGGTGTGTGGTGCAGGTAGGTGTGTGGCGCAGGTAGGTGTGTGGTGCAGGTAGGTGTGTGGCGCAGGTAGGTGTGTGGTGCAGGTAGGTGAGGTGTGTGGCGCAGGTAGGTGTGTGGCGCAGGTAGGTGTGTGGCGCAGGTAGGTGTGGTGTGTGGCGCAGGTAGGTGTGTGGCGCAGGTAGGTGTGTGGGGCAGGTAGGTGTGTGGCGCAGGTAGGTGTGTGGCGTAGGTAGGTGAGCTGTGTGGCGTTGGTAGGTGAGGTGTTTCGCAGGTAGGTGTGTGGTTCAGGTAGGTGTGTGGCGTAGGTAGGTGAGGTGTGTGGCGCAGGTAGGTGTGTGGCGCAGGTAGGTGTGTGGGGCAGGTAGGTGTGTGGCGCAGGTAGATTTGTGGCGCAGGTAGGTGTGTGGCGTAGGTAGGTGTGTGGCGTATATAGGTATGTGGGGCAGGTAGGTGAGTGGCGCAGGTAGGTGTGTGGCGTAGGTAGGTGTGTGGCGTAGGTGATGTGTGTGGTGCAGGTAGGTGTGTGGCGCAGGTAGGTGTGTGGCGTAGGTAGGTGTGTGGGGCAGGTAGGTGTGTGGCGCAGGTAGGTGTGTGGGGCAGGTAGGTGTTTGGGGCAGGTAGGTGTGTGGCGCAGGTAGGTGTGTGGCGTAGGTAGGTGTGTGGGGCAGGTAGGTGAGGTGTGTGGTGCAGGTAGGTGTGTGGCGCAGGTAGGTGAATTGTGTGGTGCAGGTAGGTGTGTGGCGTAGGTAGGTGAGGTGTGTGGCGCAGGTAGGTGTGTGGTGTGTGGCGCAGGTAGGTGTGTGGTGCAGGTAGGTGTGTGGCGTAGGTAGGTGAGGTGTGTGGCGCAGGTAGGTGTGTAGTGTGTGGCGCAGGTAGGTGTGTCGGACAGGTAGGTGTGTGGGGCAGGTAGGTGTGTGGCGTAGGTAGGTGAGGTGTGTGGCGCAGGTAGGTGTGTGGTGTGTGGCGCAGGTAGGTGTGTCGGACAGGTAGGTGTGTGGGGCAGGTAGGTGTGGTGTGTGGCGCAGGTAGGTGTGTGGCTTAGGTAGGTTTGTGGCGCAGGTAGGTGTGGTGTGTGGCGCAGGTAGGTGTGTGGCGCAGGTAGGTGTATGGCGTAGGTAGGTGTGTGGCGCAGGTAGGTGTGTGGCGCAGGTAGGTGTGTGGCGCAGGTAGGTGTGGTGTGTGGCGCAGGTAGGTGTGTGGCGCAGGTAGGTGTGTGGCGCAGGTAGGTGTGGTGTGTGGCGCAGGTAGGTGTGTGGCGTAGGTAGGTGAGGTGTGTGGCGCAGGTAGGTGTGTGGCGCAGGTAGGTGTATGGCGTAGGTAGGTGTGTGGCGCAGGTAGGTGTGTGGGGCAGGTAGGTGTGTGGGGCAGGTAGGTGTGTGGGGCAGGTAGGTGTGTGGGGCAGGTAGGTGTGTGGGGCAGGTAGATCGATATGACTAAAAGACTCTAAAATACATCTATATGACTGAATAACGCAAACAAATCAGCGAGATTACTGATGAGTTTTTGTTTATTCACCTTTTGAGACACCAGTGATTCTTGTGTAAAGGTAGCTCGTAAGGCATATAATGGGCAC